CGGTTATACTTCCTCGAGGAGATACTGTAGATATCAGTTCCTCTTAGCACTGAAGGTTTCCTGGAATGTCACAGTCTTGGAAGGAGGTGAACAATTGGATGTGTAACACCAGGATCTTCACTGGGAGTGAATACAGAAAGATCAATTATCTAAGATGCAGGTAAAATAATTTCCCATGACCCCAACATTCATAGATGTCATCCAATCTATCAGTGCCTTTAAAAAGCCACACCTTTACTCAGAGCATTTAACAAGCTCTCCTTTTATGTCTTCTCTTTGCTGGATACTGTGCGAGGTTAGGGGTGTGTATAAACAAGATACAATCCCTGTATTTGATAATCTTACATCCTAGAGTATGACAAAGCATAAAGAATGAATGACAATGTCATTATACAGGATATATTTTGGTTTCGTCTGCATAAGCTGAAGAAAGCACACACACCTCTTCTCACACCACTTTCCAGCGAGACAGCCAAAGCCCATAGCAACAAAAAGTGAATCAAGTAATGCCACTTCATGCATTTTGTCCAATGAGGTGACTGTCTTCAATCCATATTCTCTTGATGCCCGGTGTCCCCCTCATGAGATGTCCCATCTCTGTCTGAACTTGCCCTCATGAGATGTCCCATCTCTGTCTGAACTTGGTTGGAGCCAGAAACTAAGACTGAGATTGTAGTCTCCCATCCGCATGCAGCTCATGAGCCTCCCAAATAGAAGACACTCCCTGTCCCTTGGCCACAGAACAGGCAGCCATTTGATCAGAAAAGCCAGCAGCCAGCTAGTGCAAATGGCAAATCCATCAGCACCATGATCCAAACGGTAAGGTTGGCAGTATTGTCGTCACGAATTAAAAATGACACATCACAACAATTACATGGTTTCTCACTGCCTGACATGCTGGTTCAGCCTAATTCCCAGACTGTTTCAGACACCCAAACAAATTAACGTGTTTTCTAATGATATAAAATTGTGTTGCTCTGTGTGTGTGTGTGTGTGTGTGTGTGTGTGTGCGTGCGTGTGTGTAAACCTCCATACAACCACATCATCATCAATTAAATATTTATCAGAGTTCCTCTGACCTGTGACAAGCATCAGCAATTGGCCCTTGGAGCGTCGGTGTTGGCTATTTTTAAAAGCCAGCTTCTAGCCTCGGTCAGTGGAACATGTTAAACCTCAATGAACAGCTCTCACTATCTTTTGTACTGGATCCATATTCCAGGCTGAATGAAGCTTTTAGAACCAGCAAGAACCAGATGGCCCTCCAAGATCATTTTTGAATGTTTGGATCTGAGTCATTTGTATGCGGAAGCCTTCACAAAATAGCAATCTGGGGAACATGCTCCAGGCTGAGTCCAGCTTTCCAGACAGCCCATCTTTGCCTACAATTGAGAAGACAAGCACAATATTGTAGGGTTCCACAAAAATATTGCAGCATTTATCTATATGTGTAGCACCAAATACATGGAGTGTCCCAGTCAGGCTGTCACTACAATGGTAGTTCGCCACCGCTCTTCCTCCTCACTCCCATCATATTTTTCTTTTTTCTATTGTACCTACAGTTTCTCCTCTAGCACAGGCATAAAGCCATCTTTGCGAATCGGCCAGCAGAGGGTACTACAATAACTAATAACCGGTACTACAATACCGGTGCAATAATCCAAATCATAGCAAATTTACAGCTGAAAAAGATTTAGACTAATTAAAATGGGCTTTGGTTTTACTATGTGCTTGGAGCTCCCAGCCAGAAAGAAGAGGGTGATGGTATGAAAGAGATGGAAGCAAAACTGGTAGACAGGGACTGCTCATCAGAGGAAAAGGCAAGGCAGCAGCATAGGTTCAGTATCACTAGTCCCGGGGTGAGGCAAACCTAGATTCAAAAGTGAGAAGGAATCAAAACTAAGGGGTCAACCATTTCTAGGTATTCACCCTAGAAAAACTTTTTGAATACCTGTATGTGAATATTAATAACAGTTCTATTTATAATCACCCCAAACTGGGAACGATCCAGATGTCTTTTAATCAGTGAATGAAGAAACCAAGTATGGTATATCCATACAATGGAATACTACTCAGGGGTAAAAAAGAAGAAATTATGAATACATACAGTAACAGGGATGAACTCAAAGGCATTATGTTGAGTGGTGGAAGCCATTCTTAAAACAAAAGTTACACGCATATGATTCCATTTAGATGACATTCTCAACAGATCAGCAGTTGCCAGAGATTGGGGCTGAATAGAAGGTATAACTATAAAAAAAAAATAGCATGAAAGAATTCTTTGGAGTTTTGGATATGTTCTGTATTTTGTTAGTGGTGATGATTACATCAATCTATACATGTGTTAAATTTATAGAAACTGTACACCAAAAATGAATGTCAGTGTTTCAACTTAATGTAAAATTGTTTCATTAATGGTATGCTACATTTTAAAAAGAAAATTTTTAAAAGAAGAAAAAAGACATTAAAAAAAGATGGAGACCGAGGGCAGAACAGGATAAGCAGATTGCCTCTTATGCCTCTCTATGTTTTTTGTGTCCATCTAACTTTGGAGAGCTCAGAAGAGGGAGGACAGTCTCACACTTTGTAAATGTGGTGCTCTTAGATTGAATGGTAAATTATAAAAGACAGAGTTGAGTTGAGACTTGGAGGACAAGTTAGCAGGAAATTGGTGAGAAGATCAGGTTCCTCACACTCAATTTGTTGTTGTGAACAGTGGTGTTTCACTGAGTATCAACCAGCATCTTGAGCTGAAGGGACCAAAGAAGCCACCTAGATCCACATGGTGGTGATAGAGCAAGAAGATCACCAGTCAGGGTTGGTGCAGGACCAGAATCTGCCCACCCTAGGAGCCAGCAACTATGCTGGTGTAGAAAAGAATCAAGTTAATTCTAGGAGCCATCATCCATGACAGTGTAGACAGCCTCAAGTTAATTCTTCACCTCACTCGCTGGTAGGAATAGGCTCATTATCTTTGGGCAGGGGTTTATTTGAGAGAGGAAGTGAGAAACAAAAGCTAGATAAATCTAATCTAATTCTCTCATTTACAGATGAGGAGCCTAGGAGAGCAGAGTAGTGGGAGTCCTCCAAATTGCACAGCTTGTGAGTGCCCTTCAGGGTTCTGTATGTTGGCCCTGGACCAGGGACCAGGGATGGTATTTCTTCTCATCTGCGTTAGGTAGCTGAGACTGTGTTTTACGTTTAAAAGATAGCAAGACAAACAAAGGTAACTCCATAGTATGCCGTTAGAATCCATTGAAAAATATACTACCTCCCTTCAAACCATTGTTGTTGTTCTTTTCTCAGATGAATTGCTCGAGAATTCCTGTGTCTGATTCTTATATCAGCCTTCTCTTATTCAATCCAATGATTAGACTGCTGATTGAAAAAAATAGTCCAAGAGTTCTTATCTATCAAATTGCCTCTTATGCCTCTCTATGTTTTTTGTGTCCATCTAACTTTGGAGAGCTCAGAAGAGGGAGGACAGTCTCACACTTTGTAAATGTGGTGCTCTTAGATTGAATGGTAAATTATAAAAGACAGAGTTGAGTTGAGACTTGGAGGACAAGTTAGCAGGAAATTGGTGAGAAGATCAGGTTCCTCACACTCAATTTGTTGTTGTGAACAGTGGTGTTTCACTGAGTATCAACCAGCATCTTGAGCTGAAGGGACCAAAGAAGCCACCTAGATCCACATGGTGGTGATAGAGCAAGAAGATCACCAGTCAGGGTTGGTGCAGGACCAGAATCTGCCCACCCTAGGAGCCAGCAACTATGCTGGTGTAGAAAAGAATCAAGTTAATTCTAGGAGCCATCATCCATGACAGTGTAGACAGCCTCAAGTTAATTCTTCACCTCACTCGCTGGTAGGAATAGGCTCATTATCTTTGGGCAGGGGTTTATTTGAGAGAGGAAGTGAGAAACAAAAGCTAGATAAATCTAATCTAATTCTCTCATTTACAGATGAGGAGCCTAGGAGAGCAGAGTAGTGGGAGTCCTCCAAATTGCACAGCTTGTGAGTGCCCTTCAGGGTTCTGTATGTTGGCCCTGGACCAGGGACCAGGGATGGTATTTCTTCTCATCTGCGTTAGGTAGCTGAGACTGTGTTTTACGTTTAAAAGATAGCAAGACAAACAAAGGTAACTCCATAGTATGCCGTTAGAATCCATTGAAAAATATACTACCTCCCTTCAAACCATTGTTGTTGTTCTTTTCTCAGATGAATTGCTCGAGAATTCCTGTGTCTGATTCTTATATCAGCCTTCTCTTATTCAATCCAATGATTAGACTGCTGATTGAAAAAAATAGTCCAAGAGTTCTTATCTATCAAATTGCCTCTTATGCCTCTCTATGTTTTTTGTGTCCATCTAACTTTGGAGAGCTCAGAAGAGGGAGGACAGTCTCACACTTTGTAAATGTGGTGCTCTTAGATTGAATGGTATGCAAAAAAAGTCCTGGTTGAGAAGTTGAGGCATAGGTTTTTCTCCAGATTTGCTGATAACTGCATGTGAGATTTTAGGTAAGTCTCTTCCTTTATCTGGGCCTTAATTTCCTCCTCTATAAAGTGAGTCAGTTGGATCTGAGGATCTTTAAGGTAATTTCTAGTCCTACAATGTTTCACTTCTGTGTTTAGTCTTAAGTGTAAATGATAAATACTTAAATTGATGCACAAAAGAACTGATAATTTTCAGTTTACATCAAAAAATATGTACTTAGAGACTTAGAGTCTATTTTCAGGCTATATACTAGCCACGAGGGATATTAAAATAATTAAGAAATAAACCCTGCCTTTAATGACATACAATCTATGGATTACAACAAGAGTCTGGAGTTAAAGGTTATAGATTCAAGGACACTGCTCTACTTGGAATGACTCAGACCATTTATCTAACCTCTCTGAACCTATTTCTTCATCTATAAATTGTGAATAATAATAGCTCCCGCTGGGAGTGAAGAATAAAGGGAAGTATATTAGTTTTTATTATTAAGTCGTTCATATTACTATCCTGCCCTCTTGAAACAGCATTTTTCTTTCTCGCCCATACCTTTTGGCAAATGATCTCCAATTTTAATCTCTCAAAGTTGAATAAGCTATTAATACTTTCAGATGCAACTCAAGTTTCA